GTCTCCTCTGAACAGTTGATGTTGAGGTGTGTCTGTTACTTGAACTTTGTGAAGCATTTATTTGGGCTGCAATCTGAGATGCAGTTATTCTAATGAACTTATCCTCTGTAGCAGAGGTAACTCCTTTCCTTTGGCGGTCCTCATGAGAGCCAGTTTCATCATAGCGCTTGATGGTTTTTACAACTGCACTTGAAGAAACGTTCAAAATTCTAGAAATGTTCCGGATTGACTGACCTTCATGTCTTAAAGTAATGATGGACTGTCGTTTCTCTTTGCTTATTTTAGCTGATCTTGCCATTATATGGACTTGGTCTTTTATCAAATAGGGCTATCTTCTGTATACCAACCCTACCTTGTCACAACGTAACTGATTGGCACAAACACATTAAGAAGGAAAGAAATTCCACAAATTAACTTTTTAACCTGTTAATTGAAATGCATTCCAGGTGACTACCTCATGAAGCTGGTTGAGAAAATGCCAATAGTGTGCAAAGCTGTCATCAGGGCAAAGGGTGGCTACTTTGAAGAATCTCAAATATAAAATATATTTTGATTTGTTTAACACTTTTTTGGTTACTATATGATTCCATATGTGTAATTTCATAGTTTTGATGTCTTCACTATTATTCTGGTAGGTGTGTCCAAACTTTTGACTGGTACTGTATGTAAATGTGATATTTCAGTTTTGTATTTTTTATAAATTTGCAAACATGTCTAAAAACCTGTTTTTGCTTTCTCATTATGGGGTATTGTGTGTAAACAATTGAATCAATTTTAAAATAAGGCTGTAACGTAACAAAATGTGGAGAAAGTCAAGGGGTCTGAATACTTTCCGAACGCACTATATGTCAGAATAATGTTCATTGACTAATGAACACTGCTCTCTCCCACCTGGACAATAGGAATACCTACTGTATGTGAGAATGCTGTTCATTGACTACAGCTCAGCGTTCAACACCATAGTCCCCTCATCACCAATCTCGGGACCCTGGGACTGAACACCTCCCTCTTCAACTGGATCCTGGACTTTCTGATGGCCGTCCCCAGGTTGTGAGGGTAGGTAACAACACATCTACCACGCTAACTCTTAACATGGGGGCCCCTCAGGGGTGTGTGCTTAGGCGACTCCTGTACTCCCTGTTCACCCACGACTGTGTGGCCACGCACAACTCCACACCATCATCAAGTTTGCTGACAACACGACGTTGGTAGGCCTGATCGCCAACGACAATGAGACAGCCTACAGGGAGGAAGTCGGAGACCCTGCAGTGTAGTGTCAGGACAACAACCTCTCCCTCATCAAGACAAAGGAGCTGATCGTGGACTACAGGAAACGGAGGGGCGAGCACGACCCCATCCACATCGACAGGGCTGTAGTGGAGTGGGTTGAGAGCTTCAAGTTCCTTGGTGTCCACATCACTAAGGATCTATCATGGTACATACACACCAACATAGTTATGAAGAAGGTGCGACAGCGCCTCTTCCCCCTCAGGAGGTTGAAACGATTCTCAAAATGTTCTACAGCTGCACCATTGAGAGCATCTTGACCGGCTGCATCACCGCTTGGTATGGCAACTGCACCGCCCTTGATCGCAAGGCACTACAGAGGGTGGTGCGGACAGCCCAGTACATCACTGGGGCCGAGCTCCCTGCCATCCAGGACCTCTATACCAGGCGGTGTCAGAGGAAGGCATGGAAAATTGTCAGGACCCCAGCCACCCAAGCCATAGCCTGTTCACTCTACTACCACATGGTAAGTGGTACCGTTGCGCCAAGTCTGGGACCAAAAGGCACCTGGGGTCATTCCACCTCAAAAAGCACAAGAAAGAGGATTTCGACACCCACCATCTCAGATTGTTCTGACATTTTTTCTGTTGTTAGAAACAGATAAGATTAGGAGTCCTGTGTCATAATTTAAAATATATATTATTTGATCTCTGAGAAATTAAGCTAATTGATTGCATTTTAATTTATAGGATTCATATAATATTATATAAATATATTACCTAACATCTGATTTGGACCAAACTTTTTTCTAACAATGAGTTCGACATGAGAAATCCAAAGAAATGGCCAAAAGTCACCCACGGACCATCCACACCCCAGGCAAATCCCACCCCAACAATGAGTATATAGTATCAGTTTTCTATGTCTGACATGTAGTATCAGCTCGTAATATTGTTTCTTCATGCTATGTAATTTATTCCCAGTGAATTTTGTGATTTTTTTTACTCCCTGTTCAGAGAAATTAGTAATTGTTGAGTCAGTTGTTAGGTTTTTGTCCCATCCTACATCCTGATATTACCAGGTACTGACCACTAGATGGTGCTGTTATAGTTTTCAACTGTACTGATTGTGTTATTTTACATTTACATTTTAGTCGAATGTGCTTACTCTGGTCTTGGCACGTGCACTCTAGCCACCAGCTCGCAGATACAGTGCAGGTATAGTGTGCATGATAAGATTATTATGGACAAAAGAGCAAGATTAATGTAATTTATCAAACGGCAGCCAAGCATCAATCATCATGTCACCAGAATAAGACCCTCAATATTTATTGGAAAGGAGCATCAAGCTTATCACTGTGCACTTTCACCACCTTGTGAAGTTCATCATAATTTATTTCATCTGTAGCCTAATAAACTGCATGCTTTCCCCAGTCGTAGTGGGAGGACCACACAACATATCATCGCGTGACTCCAAGTTTACTTCGATATGATGGTTATTATATCAATATTTGTGTTTCCAATGCAATTTCTCACATAATTAATTTTACACACAAAAAGATCCCACTTTGTCCAGCGTATTTTGGAAAGTTTAACGACAAATTTGCTGTTTCCATCTGGCCTGTCATTAAATTTTTTATCCGACATGTACTCGCATAAAATGGTTGGATGGAAACCTGGTTAATGGTACCTATATAAACTTTTTACACTTCATGTCCAAATCATCCTGAAATATCTAAAAATTGATTGTGTAACTAAATTATGTATTTCTGTCTGTAATAAAGCCCTTTTGTGGAGAAAAAGTCATTCTGATTGGCTAGGCCTGGCTCCTTAGTGGGTGGGCTGCCAAGTGGGTGGGCCTATGCCCTCCCAGGCTCACCCATGGTTGCACCCCTGCCCAGTCATGTGAAATCCACAGATTAGGGCCTAATTTATTTATTTCAATTGACTGATTTCCTTATATGAACTGTAACTCAGTAAAATCTTAAAAATTGTTGCATGTTGCGTTTATATACAAAATAAATCTCTTTCTGGTGCTCCTTACATTCTATTTGGTGCCTAACGTTTTTAAAGTTGGGAGCAGTGTGTAGGTTATGTGTTTTTGCGGGAGAGAGTGGTGTGTGTGTGTTTATGTGAGAGAGGGAGACAGAGAGAGCGTGTGAGGGAGAGAGAGTGTGTGTGTTTTAAAGAGTAAAGAAGGTTTCATTCAGAGTTTTCCCCTTACTGCCACAATGACATGCAGATCATTATGCATGTATATTCCTTCCTTCAGCCATTCTATGCAGTATACTGTTATAGTAAACAGTGTGAAGTTAAATTCATTATGTGTTGTATTGAGTAGAAGTGTGAATATCAGTGACAGGTTTTTTGTGTAGCCTAGCAAATGCGCATAACTTTTAGAAAACCGGAACATGCATTGGGGGGACGGGGCAAACAGGAAGCTAGGCCACTCAATTTCCCCCCCGTGGTATCGCAATACTACTTGGTATCGTGATACTTGGCCTGGTATCAAATCCTTAGTAAAATGTTGGTATCGTGACAACACACACACACTTTCACACACTCTACATATGCTGATGCTACTCTGTAATTATCTATCCTGATTGCCTAGTCACTTTTACCCCTACCTACATGTACATATTACCTCAACTACCTTGTACCCCCTGCACATTGACTCGGGACTGGTCAATTGCTATTTACTGTGTTACTATTTTCTATTTGCCAATTTTCTTACTTTTTATACTCTGCATTATTGGTTAAGCATTTCAAGGTAGTCCACAGGTGTTGTATTCGGCACATGTGACAAATAAACATGGATTTAATTTAGCATTTTCATTGTCATGACATTCTTGGTTCAATAGCAATTGACGAGAGAAGACCGAATATCCAATATAAAACTAATTTTACCTCGGTGCCGAACCGTCCATATCCCTAACTACTGGCTCTCTAAAAAGTCGGGTAAACAATACTTTCCTGTAGATATTCTGTTTCAAATTTCAAACAGCTAAAGGACAAACCGATAAATGTAATTTTATTCAACATTCTGGCGTGTAAGGCTTGTAATTTACACGATTAACAGACATTCGTTTCAGGCTGTATATAATGTTACCGATTAATTGTATTACAGCCTGGTTAATCACACACTACACATAATGAATGCAGTATTAGCATTTCAATGGTGAGAGATTATATTTACACAGTTATCATTAGATAGCTAGCTAACTAACCTACTTGAAATGTTGTCATTTCATTTCACTCTGCAGCAGTCTGCACTTCACCCAAATTCCTGTCTCTGACGCTAATTCAAGGTATCTTTCAAAATATGTTTGCTATATTTTCAGAGGGGAGTTGTTGCATGACAAAGGTAACTACGCTAGCCTCTTTCTGTGACAGCAACGGCCCAGCAACTGTGTTCACGTTACCACAGCCACAAAGTCAACATTGGCTAAATTTCGTAAAAAATCATTTTTGTTCTTAATTTAGGGTTAGGCATAAGGTTAGCAGTGTGGTTAATGTTAGGTTTGAAATCAGATTGTAAGAAGATACATTGTAGAAATAGGCGTGGTTTAGCCCTAATTATGACTTTGTGCGTGTGGTAACTACTGACGAACCCCAAAAACTACCAGACATGAGAACGTTTGCAGTGGTCTGAATCGCTCGAAAGAGAAGAAAAACAGAGGTGCTGCCGCCTAGCGGACATGATGATTGAGTCAGAAAAAAAATGAGGGGAGGAGTGGCACAGTTATTTCGAAATCTTTTTAGTTTTTTCCTCGTGTTTTTTAATACCAGTTCTTTCCACTGTAATGATCAGACAACAAAACCATCTGTTACAGTAGGTTTTATTCTTATAGATATTTACATTTGAGATTATTACATTATTATCATACATTGCATATATATTTTAGAGTGCAGGCTTGGAAGTCCAAAATACTTAGCATACAACAGGTTTGCAGCAGCAGTGTTTCTCCTATGCTGTCCTGCTAAATGACTGTGTCAAACGCAAGCTGCCACAGATAACTTTGGTTCAAAACCCTTTTTTGAAAAATAAAAATGCTTTGCTTTGCAATAACAGTACATAGCTCAAAACAAAATGGAAGACAAAGATATAAAGATTTTAAAAAACTATGTTTGACAGATCTGTATTGATACCTACAAATGTCCATTATCAAAAGTACACAGACTGAAGTGGGATAGAGTTCAGACATACAATTGGCAGCATCCACTAGGCCCCACTTACAGTATCTGCTTACATACTGGGTGATCACGTGGTAGAGCAGGGTCCGAGTAAGAGGTAACATACAGCAAGATGATAAGCTTATACAGGGATAAAACATAAAAAACAAAAGAATAGCATCCTATTTGTGCTAGTAAAAGTATCCAAAGCTTTTGCTAACTGGACCTGAAGCCTGTTTTGAAGAAGAGAGAGAGAGAAGGCTTGAGACAAAGGTGCCATAATGCAGCTGAAATGATATTTTCCCAGATATCATAGTGCTGAATGAACATCTTTGAATGTTCTTCATAGGTATTTTGCTTATTTTAATTATGTAATATGACCATGATGGAGTACATGGGCAAAAACATGACCCAGATCCCTTAGACATCTTGTAGCTCAGTGACTTTACTGTGGATGCCTATTGACAGTATATCTCATGTTTGCATGGTGTGTATGTGGAACTTCCACAGAAAAAGAAGAGGGCAGAAAGGCAGAGAAGCTTAGGTATGACCTATATCATGAGCTCTAATAGAAAGCCTTGGCTTAGGGCCAATGCAGAAGGGAATGGTAAAGGGAAGTGGTGTTCTTAGGCAGCATGGGACAATGGTTTGGCAGTGTGACTAGCCTACTGGAGGGCAGGGTGACTTTGAGGCAGGTAACATAGGGGTCACTGGTGTTACACCGTGATTTTGTAAATGCTCCAAAATAAGATCACTTCTTCAGTCAAGTCATGCTGCATAGGATATACATACAAAATAATAAACTGAAAAACAATACAGAAATAACATGTTTACAATATAAGAATAATACTATTGCTGTGCATGTTGAACGCTTACTTTGCTTTAAAATCTATTAGCTTTTAAAGACAAATAACTTTTACACACAATAAAAATAGCATTTATGACTACATGTAACAAGGCACAGTTGGCAATCCTGATTATAAGTCATTTTGGATAATGTGCTAGATTATCTGTTTTCAGGTAACATGCACTCTATAAAGCCAACACAAATGCAACAGTCATTTACACTCAATCAACAACTTGCAAACCCAATCGCATTTATATTACTCAGATGACCAAATACATACTCTGTTCTTCACAAAAAGCACTCATTCACCTGACAAGAACAAAGTACATGCATAAAAAGAGCCCAAATACATTGGAAGGCTTGTGATGAATGATGCATAGTAAAACTGGGAATATCTATTGATATGTTCCTGACCCCAGCCTCTTCCCTCTTCACGTCAGCAGGCCCAGACGAGACAGTTTGGCCGACAGGAAGGAATGAAGAACAAACACCACGGGCTTGGGGCCAGAGTGCAGGTCAAACACCTAAAAAACAAAGAGACAAGATAAAACATACAAAACAGGAGATAAATCAATACATTAAATGGACTATTAGACCATTACACTCTGAAATGCACTAATGTGTCCAACAGCGATGTACCATTTCACCCTCTGGACCTCCAAAGTCCAGGTAGAGGTTGCGGATCCCGTCGTCTGTGGACATCTTGAGCTTCTCGAAGGGGTATCTGAAGAGCACAGTGCCCACTGCAGGCTCCCCTGGCTCCCGGGTCACAGTGAAGCCCTTCTCATAATGAAGAGTGAGGCGAACGTCCTGCCTGTTCAGCATGCAACCTGAGGGACAGAGGAGAGGTAGAGAACTTTGTGTGTGTGTAATTGGAATAGTATGTATGTGCCTGTGTGAGAAAGTCTATGAATATGTTTGTGTTGCAGTGGAATAGCGAAGGAAAAGACTCAACGTTAGTGGAAACATTCCCCCTTCTTCTTTTCCCACTTTATTTCCACTGAACAGTAGTTATTTTGTACATTTACTTTTTTCTGTCACCACTTCCTGTATCACCGTGAGAAGTAAATCATGTGATTCCAAAGCCTCACTCAATAATATACATAGTTATACATAGTTAGACAAACCAACGTTAGACATACAGACACACATCCACTCTCCAATGTTAGACATACAGACCACAGGAGGTTGGTGGCATCTTAATTGGGGAGGACGGGCTCGTGGTAATGGCTGGAGCGGTAGAACGGTATCAAATACATCAAACACATGGTTTCCATGTGTTTGATGCCATTCCATTTGCTCCGTTCCAGATATTATTATGAGCCGTCCTCCCCTCAGCATCCTCCACTGATAAAAACAGACACATACACATCCACTCACCAATGGAGATCTCCTTAATCAGTTCTGCAGCAGAATGCCCCCCCTGCACCAGCGCCCGGGTCCATGAGGACAGGTCCCAGTGCGTCTCCACCCGGAACACATGGGATTCGATGCCCCGCCCTGTACCCGTCCGAGTGGCAAACACCAGGTCTGCCCCCTGCGCCGGGGAACTGCGGGCACTGCCAGAGTGCACCAGTCTACATAGAAACGGGTACACACCAAACAAGGTCAGCTCACCGTTTGCTCCTCCCACGAGTGATCTTTATCAAGTTAACAGTGAATAAGTTATGATAACAAAACACCAACACATCGCAGAGTGAAAGAGGCAGAGAGAGAAAAAGACAGACAAAGAGAGATACAACCTACATTCTAATGCTGCCTGGCAAACCTGTTGTCGTACCTTGTGGCGAGTAGTGGGTGTGTGAGCAGGGGTGTGGACCAGGCTTCGCGGTTCCATGGCACTGATTCAAACAGCAGGATATCTTTCTCTGTCAATGCCATGACGATTGGTCGGAACTGGTGCCGCCCACCATCCAACTGGACCTACACCATAAAGAAAGAGAGACAGCATGAGAGAAAGTGTCAAAATGCTTATGTCATTACTGATTAGGTTTTCCACGTCTGTTTGTGTAGGTGTGTGTGTGTGTGTGTGTTTATGTGTTTGCGTGTCATGTTAGGTGGGCCCAGAGGAAATAGTTAATGCAACGGCAGCTTCCTGTGGTTTTCTGTCTCAAAGTACTTCCTGTCAACCCCCAACGAGGCCAACTAAACAACAATGCACAGACAATATCCAAACATTTAACATGGCATACCGCCACTACACCGCTACCCGCTTTGTGGACTATTGCTCCCATGCTGCTATGCCCTGTGGACTATTGTTCCCATGCTGCTATGCCCTGTGGACTATTGCTCCCATGCTGCTATGCCCTGTGGACTATTGCTCCCATGCTGCTATGCCCTGTGGACTATTGTTCCCATGCTGCTATGCCCTGTGGACTATTGTTCCCATGCTGCTATGCCCTGTGGACTATTGTTCCCATGCTGCTATGCCCTGTGGACTATTTGCCGCTTTAATTTTGTTCAGCTGTTTCCCCTCTTTTCCCTATTGTTCCCATTTCTTCAATGTTGTTCTCTATTGTCCTTTTAAATTATGTGTAAAGTGTGTTGTGACACATGTGAAATGCACTTTAAATAAATTCTGATTTTGATTTGCACAACAAACAGTATAAGATGGCACATTTAAAAGACCACAACTCAAAATTCAGAACAAGCATACAGTGACCATCTATAAAACATAAACACTATTTACAGTACACATGCAATATTGTACAAGACTGAACAACAAAACACAATACTGTATGTGTGCATCTGTACGTAAGTGTATTTCACAGCAGCATACAGTACTTTTTTGTACAATGTAGTTATTTTTTATAATATATTGTTTTGTTTGTGTAATTTATTCTGAAGGTCTATATGAGTGCAGTACCTGTTCTGCCAGCCAGCTGATGTGTTTGAGTTGGGGGTGGGACCCCGTGGTGCTGGAGCCCAGGTAGGAGTTGATGTGGGCCAAGGTCTGAGGCAGCAGGGCAGCAATGTTGGTGTGGATGGCTGTGAACCAGGAGTGGGCGCTGGGGCTGTCCTTACAGCGCAACACCACCGTGTGCTGGCCATCAGGAGAGTGCAGCTCCAAGAGTCTGTGGGAGTCAACAGTCCTCATCATCATAGTGTCTAGTTGTGTCCATTGTTTTTCTGTTTGGTTTTAATTTGTTATTTTATGCACTTTGAGATTATTCTGTATAATGAAAAGCAATTTACAAATGTAATAAATTATTTATTTAAATGATTAATTCTTATTATCATTATCTTACTAAACATACCAAACCAACACTCCAATGATTTTTTGTATTTTCCCTCATATGCTGCATTTCAATCTCTCTCTCACACACACAAACACAAACCGTGGGCCTTACCTGTTCTCCAGGTCAGGTATAGTCAGGTTCCTGCTGATGAAGCACATTTTGAGGGGGATGACCTTCCGGTCCTTGGCCCCGCTGTGTTTGGGGGACCCCGAGTCCTCACTGCCACTGAAGTTGGGGGATTGAGGACGCACCCCATCCCATGGTAGGTCTGCCACCAAGGACGGCTTCTTAAACAGTGGGGAAACCTCCCTGATATATTTCACTACAGAAACGCAGAAAGACAAAATAAACAGTGATTAAATATGCATAGATCTCAAGCTGTAAAAAAGTGTGTCCAAAAGCAACACAAGATTGATCATATATTTCAGACAGTGGTTGAAAAAGTTACAATGCTCAATTAAAAGAGTAATAAATGTCTTATAAGCACATATTAGTCGCTTGTTGAGTTACTCTGAGTAGGAGTTGGTGGTACAGTTGTGTGCTTGGCAGGTCGCCTGCTTGGAGAATAATAGTTTTGACTGAAATCATGGATTCAGTTTCCAAATTTGGTCCCGTGGCCCATTCCACCACTCATCCATTCCCTCTCTCTTTCTCCAGTCCCCTAGGTCGCGCTGCTCTGACTGAGAAATTCAACACGAGTAGCTCAAGAGACAAGGTCATTGTTGGATGTAGGCGAGGATTAGGCTTGTGAAAGTAATTGGCCCAAATATCTGTTAGTATAAGTATGGGCGGACTGTGTGTGTGTGTGTGTGTGTGTGTGTGTGTGTGTGTGTGTGTGTGTGTGTGTAATTTGACAGAAGGAGGGAGGTAATGGTAGAGGTAAGGCACTGGGCCAAGGATTAGAACCTATTTCCAAGACCCTGCTAACCACACTGCTCTTACTAACAGTGTCAGTGAATATATTTCTGCTTATTCAAGTCTTTTGGAGTGTATGTGTGTGCGTGCATGCAAATGTTTTAGGAAGTGGCTGGCCTTCTGGACATGGGCCAGAGCATGACCAGAAACCACCCAACCCCAACCCTGAAGAGATCAAGATGGGCAGAGCTGCCTACAGTCATACAGCGCAATCCTGATGGAGCAAAGTACATATTACACTCACTGACAGTGTCATATGACCAATATACACAGCCACATGAAGTTGTGCAGAAATGTGAGGAGTAGTGAATGACAACTCTAGATTGAATGTAATTAATAGATTTACTGTAAAGATGCTCAGTCAAGACTTCCAGCCACAACATCACTGCAGTGTTCCAGTGTGGTTATAAATGTCATGGTACGTTTAAGGACAGGCTCGGTCTCTGTGGCATTCCTCCGTCCCCACTGTACTGTAGCTCTGGTACATCTGTACGGATACGCTTTAGCCATCACAGGTTGAGGTATAGGTGACAAAAAAACTTTATGACACTGGCTCGCACTCAGAGGAAAGATACATGTTGGAGGCTTACCACAACATCTCCATTTGTCAATACACTGCTTGAGTGAGTGCAGACTGCAGTTTGGGCCAGTTGTGTTTTATGGCAGTGTTTTCTGTTGAACTAAACAAGGAAAAGGTTTGTCCCAGTCCCACCATGGCGTTAAAACTTTGTGAAAAGTTGGGCGTCAGATAGTTGGTTCCAGAAGCTGCTCTTGCTGTCCCTCTGTGGTGCTGTTTAAAGATCTCATTAGAACTGTCAGCTCCCGTTCTGCTTTTAATTAGGGCAGTACACAGAGGTGTGTGTGTGTATATGTGTCTGTGTGTGTGTTCGAGGGAAAGGGATGAGGTGCCATCACACATAGCTAGAGCTAATTTTTTCTCACTCCCTCCATACCTCTATGCCCACAGCAATGCAGAGGAATGAGACAGAGGAGGAAGGGGAGAGCTGGGGGAATCTGACTGACTCCAACTTATTATTTGGCTGAAGGAGTTGTGGTTCAAATCCATGCACTGTTGTGCAACCCCTTCCCTTCCCCATGGTTTGATCATGCACACATTTGCTCTTCTCTCCTTGTAGCCTTCACCCGGGTACTGCTTTATGTGCCCGGCTACACCCCAGACCCTGACCACTGTTTTTCTTCTGACCAAAATCCCCCTGTGGTTTGTCCATCTCCACGTTCCTCTCCTCCCCACTAATGCCTTTCTCCCCACCCTGCCTCAGACTGTGTGCTGCCAGGCCTTTAATGAGAACAGTGTGTCAGACTCCCCAGATGGGGAGGGGGTTTGTAGAAGGTTCTGGAGAGGCTCCCTCAGCTCCCCTCAAATATACATACCTGCCCCCAACTAAAAAAAGTCCCCCTCTGCTGCTCCCCATCAAACACACAAACCTGCCCCCTTCCTCGCCTCTTTTCACTCTGACCTGGATCACAAAAGGAGGGCATGGCAATAAGTGGAAACAGTGTATATATCCAGTATGTGGATATTTTTACACAAACGTTATACACAGTGTGCATGCTGCTACACTGTCCCTGCAATGAATCACACAAACAGATATTTCTGTGGATATCCATTTCTGTTTACAGACAGACAACTTGAGAGAGGGAGAGAGGAGAGCAAATGTGCTTGTTCCACTGATATTAATCAAAAATTGTAGTGTTACAACATGAACATACTTCTATATGTGGTGGCCTTTTTGATGCTTTGACTCATAGTGCATTGCAGACTCAAGTGAAATGTTCAATGGTCATTGGTCAGTAAGTTTTGGTTTGTGAACAACAGAAAATAACTGTCTCTAATCGGGCCTGTCCCCATTTTATGACTAGTCTGTCTCTTTGTACTATTTTTATTATTCCTTTTAACCGGAGGAAGTCTCCTCCTCTATCCACCAATAAGCACGCAAACTAAACAAGACAGCCATGATCCAATTGACTAATGTTATTCAGTTATTACATTTCCATTACTGTGAGCTCATATTTATTAGGAAAATATAAATAAAGTAGCTATTGTATTTATTAGAAACACAACATTCATGCCTGTGTGAGAGTTTTATGCAGGTCTTGGACGCAACCTGGTTAAGAAATGTGAAGTCACTAATTGCCCTAATGTCTAGGGTTTATGTATTGTGTACATTACATAGTGGTCTGGAAATTGAAATCTCATTTCGACCTTGTCTGTCTGTGGTTAGGCCTATGGGAATCTTCAGAGGATGAGGAGGAAAATGCAGACAGATTGGAATGGGGGTCTTTTCACTAACACCACAACTCACTCCCTGTCAGTCTAACAAACAGTGACAGGGAACTGGCACATTCCTTAAACAAAATCCTTGGTTCCTCAATGGAGAGACAGAGATTACACAAACTCTTATTTAGGACTATTAGGCCTATTTGAGATGAGAAGCAGAAAAGATTAAGCCTACTTTATTTTGGGGGTTATAGTGAGACCTCATTTGACTAACTAAATGAGACAAACTGCGTCACATAAACCAACTCTCTACACCCAACCTTACTCAGTATTCATACAGGGTTCATTCCCAAAACATTAAGCCTAACCACCACACAGTGCATTTCAGCCCCGACTAGTTGTTTCCAACCCCCGGGGCTTCACACCAAAGTGCTTTTAAAATCAATATAAGAACACACAAACATGATTATTAACTGTTTTAGCCTACAATGACTTCTTATCTAAAATAATCCACCACCACATATACAATGTAGCTAATTTTGTAACCACTGTGCTTACTTTGCGGTTTACAATAGGCCTAATGAGTGTCAGTGGATTGTGAACTGGTTACATTGTAGCCTATAGCTATGTGCTGTAGTCTGGCAATGTACTAGAAAAATAATTTAATATTCTAAGAACGGGGCAGAATAAAGTTTTATTTGGCTATAATGCACACATTGATTAGGCTACTAGGCCTAGTTGAGACAGCTGTCAGACTGACTGGCCTTCCCAAATCCCCGCTATCGCGTTTGAAAACTTACCCTCAAGCGTAACCTCTTTCCCAGCCTTTTTTAGAGCCTGCACCGCTAGATCATGCGTGGCCTCCCTTAGGTCGTTTCCATTGACTGAGAGGATCGCGTCGCCGACCCGAAGAGCTCGACTCTGATCAGCTGCAAGTCCGGGGAAGATCTTGGATATGAGGATGGGCATTCGGTTTTCCCGACCCCCCTTGATGCTGACCCCCAACCCGCCCGACTCTTGTTTTACAACTCGAACTTTACGCACAGCTTCCGATGCGCTGGATTCTAAATTGATGTACGTTTCGCCATGCCTGGAACTGAAGCTAGATCCAGGACTACCGTAACTGGACCCTGGGCTGCCCAAATCTGAGTTCGTACCGTTATCACGATTATACTTGCTAGAGCCAGGGCTAAAACCTTCGTAGTGACCCCTGTTGGTGCCCCCGCTCGCTGGGCTACCGCTTCGTCCTAGCGCACCATGGTTCGGATGTTGTTCTTGGTTCGAGGTTTGACCACGGTTCGAAATTCCAGACGCTAACCATGGGTCGTTTCCGTTTGACATTCCATTTCGTAGGTCCGCTGAATTGTTGCAATCCAAGTTGTTCCTGTGCCCGCTTATCTCTGCTTCCGCCGTTAATGTGAAAGTCTCGCTGGTCAATTCGCCCGCTACCCGAATCCAGCGGTCCCGGAGCAAAAGGTCTAATTGACCATTTTTGTCCGCTCGTGTCCAGACAGCCATCCTGGTAGTCCGGGGCGGGTTTCAGACTAAACTCCTGATTAACTTTTTCCTATTTTCAGTGTGTACCCAAGCACTAGCCTACCCTACATTTGACACACCCACTTACGCACTGATTGTAGGAAACTGAACGGAAACAACTGCCTCTGATGGACTCCCTCCCTTATTATTGAGCGCGCTAATGCGGGCTGTCTGTGGTGTGAAAACTTGGAGCCAGACAACAGAAACAGCCAATGAACGCAATAGTGTGTGATTGGACCTTAAATTACTTATTCATGAAAGAGGCATGTTTAAAAAAAAAAAACAGACAGGCCTAGCTTTACTTTTTATGTTCTGATGGCCAGTCCATCTCCCTTCTCACTATAGGGGTCTATTAGACTGTCTATTACACTTTAACAGACACTCCCTCATATAGGTGTATCTAAAGGTTTAGTGAATGATCATAGTGTTTTAACATGTAGGCTAGTGCATGCTATTAGTGAAGAATTTCTCTGACCTTTCAACCCATCTAACAAAGCATTCGATTTTTACATGGTCAACAGGGAAACTACGCTACAACAGTTCTATAGAAATATACAGTACAACGCTTCCTTAGCATTCTAAGGAAGGGTGGACAGATCCACACTGTAGACATAGTACTTAATTGTTACATTAGATTTATTGCAGTTGAGGTTTACTTAGTGTTTAGAAAATTAGAGCAGATCTCACAGGACCATCGAGGGTGAGAGAGGGGTCTTAACGTCATTCTGAAGCAGTAGAGATAGGCGGCTGGGGTCCAGTCCAGTGTGGTGCCAATAGGACAGGTCTCTCCCAGGATCTCTTTTACCCAGAACTGACCTTTACCAGTCCTCTCAGACCCGGTTACATTCAAACAGTCGGACAGACGATGTCACCATGCATCATTAAGTTGGACCACAGACAATCCTAGCACATTCCAAAAAGTATTGTCATAGTGAAATATCTCTTCTATTGAGCTTGCCATAGTTCTGAGAAGGTGTGTCATGGCAAGATGCGTTTACAGTTAAAATGTGTTATTTTGGTGTTAAGAGTATATTACATTCATAACTACAACAAGGCAATTAGGGAGCTAAATGTTTAGCCTAAACCAAACTCTTGGCTCCTACAGTAGATAGATCTCCTCTTTGCAATGATCCTTACCTCTTCCTCCCTCACCTATTTCCTCCTCCCTCTGTTTTGCCTCCCCTCTCTGCTTGCCCTCCACTTCTCCCTTATGTCCTCTCTCTCTGTTTCAGCTGTGCATCAGACCAGTGAGTGAAGTCATCACTGGTGTGATGAGACAGACATTGTTGTTCCTAGGCCACATCATCCTATGAACCTCCGCAGAAAGGGGGGGGGGGGCAACACTTAACAAGCACTTCAGCAGGGGGAGGGGGTACTTGCAGGTTGGGGGAATGGTGGGGTGTCTGAGTAGGCTAGTAGTGCAGCACAGGTGCAACAGTCGATCTATTCACTTGTTCTTCCTCTTCAAGGTGGGCGGATGTGGTGATGCATGAGGTTGGGGGTGTGGCTTGGGCATAGCACTCTCCCACTTGGGAGTGTTGTTGAGGATGTCCAGGCTCTTGCGGCTGGACGAGATGACATCAGCCACAAACTTGGTGCAGTCCGCACAGACATCCCGCAGGCTGCAGCCATGGGCGTACAGGTGGGGGAACTCCTCCTCCACAGACCGGCGGGAGAGAGTACGCAAAGATCTGTGCAGAGGGAGAGAGGTGTTATAACCCTTCAGTGGAGTGCTCTGAGTATATAACATGACCAGGAACAATCTGATCAGGTCACATAGGCCTGGAGATTTTCCCGGTCAGGGCACATGGTTTGGAACAACTCCAGGCCCTACCCATCTATAGTGGCCTAAAGGGGGATATTAAAGACTGACTGTGGAGCAATCAGTTGGGTAATTATTACATAATGGCTGCTTAGAGTTCTGGGTGAAGCGGAGGCGTTACATAACAAATGCTGAGAGATCTAGAGGATGGCCAGTGATTGGATTAAGCATGTGAGATACTATTGGCTGGGGTGAGCAAAGACTTCCTCTGCTGAGGTAATGAGATCCATTTCAGTGGCCATGAAGTAACTAAAATAGACTGAAATATATACTGTTCAGGCAGACAAGACTCACTTGTAGACCTCACTCTTGTGACCATGGCTCTTTGGGCTGCTGTGAAAGCCCACAGTGTAGACTGGGATGTGGGCCATCTTCTTGGAAGGAATCTTCATCTGTGGCAGAGGGTGAGGGAAAATAGATAGTTCAAATGGGCATGGGTGAGGAGGAAGAGGAGGAGGAGTAGGACATTTAAAGAACTGAGAGAGATCGTATCGGCAGGAGAAAGTGAAGAGGAAATGGCAGACTTGATATGATTAGGAAATATTAGATAACACAGAGCTGCGTGTATGAGGGAGAAACAATGTCACAAAACATCAACCACAAGAGAACACACAACAGAACCTCAAAGTACAATCACAAACTATACTGAACAAAAATATAAACACAACATGTAAAGTGTTGGTCCCATGTTTCATGAGCTGACACAAAATATCCTAGAAATGTTCCATACGCACAAAAAGCTTATTTCTCTGAAATGTTGTGCACAAATGTGTTTACATCCCTGTTAGGGAGCATTTATCCTTTGCCAAGAAAATCCATCCACCTGACAGGTGTGGCATATCAAGAAGCTGATTAAACAGCATGATCATTACACAGGTGCACCTTGTGCTCGGGACAATAAAAGGCCACTCTAAAATGTGCCGTTTTGTCACACAACACAATGCCACAGATGTCTCAAGTTTTGAGGGAGTGTGCAATTGGCATGCTGACTGCAGGAATGTCCGCCAGAGCTGTTGTCAGATAATTTAATGTTCATTTCTCTACCATAAGCCGCCTCCAACGTCATTTTAGAGAATTCGGCAGTATGTCCAACCGGCCTCACAACCGCAGACCACGTGTAACCATGCCAGCTCAGCACCTCCATATCTAGTTTCTTCACCTGTGGGATCGTCTTAGACCAGCCACCCGGACATCTGATGAAACTGAGGAGTATTTCTGTCTGTAATAAAGCCCTTTTGTGGGGGAAAAATCATTCTGATTGGCTGGGCCTGGCTCCCCAGTGGGTGGTCCTGGCTCCCAAGTGGGTGGGCCTATGCCCTCCCAGGCCCACCAATGGCTGCGCCCCTGCCCAGTCATGTGAAATCCATAGATTAGGGCCTAATGAATTTATTTCATTTGACTGATTTCCTTATATGAACTCTAACTCAGTAAAACCGTTGAAATTGTTGCATGTTGCGTTTATATTTTTGTTCAGTATATATTCAGAACCATGAACTTACAAAACACAGAACTACACAGCAAAGACAAACCACAATCTCACATGACAAATTACAACAGCCCTGACCTCAAACCTACATAGCACAGAACCACAAATCCAAATGGTCTAATGACTGAGGGACAAATTAAAATAATTGACATGATTAAAAGCACAGAATAATATTATGAGCCACCACAGAACATATTTTGCTCGTATAATGATATATACTGTATATTGAATACAAACCACATTAGCAGAAAGCACTGGGAAAACATTACACATTCAAAAAACATGAATTCGCATTTACACTGACAAAGAGGAAGGGGCTGTAGGATACCTTTGCACTGCAGGATCCACAGACAGACCTGAAGGATAGAGAACCACAGGGACAGAGCTAAGAATCCCCTGAATTACACTGCCAACAAAACATATGGCGCTATTCAATCAAACCCACAATGGTATATAAAAAGCAACATCATTCTTGTGCTTCTTGACCAAGTTTAAATTAATTGAATAAGGTGTTATTTCAAAAGGTGCATGTGCTAACATAATACTACATACTGTGTAGTGTTTACTGACCTTTTACAGAGCAGGCAGGTGGATGGCCAGGAAAAGAGGGGGAACTTAATTCTGCAGCAACAGCACACCTGGGAGAGACATACATATACTGTAGATAGAACCTCGATCATAAGGCTTTGAGAGAACAATATGAAAGGATGTGACGTAACTGCCTGTACCTTGCCTCTCCTCAGATTGTAATACAGTTCCTTGTTCTGCAGGTACTTCTCCATCTCTGCTTTCACCAGCACACGACGCACATTGATGACCTCATCAACTGTTAAGGCAAGACTCTCTACTGGGTGACTGAATTCCTCCTTCACAGGGATAGAGAGAGGGGTTGAGTAGGTAGAGAGGAGATTGCATAGAATAGTCAGGTCAGGTTGAAGTGAAGCAGAAAACACCCAGGGGAAGCAGTGTGGAGAGCTGATCAAAGACAATGGGCCACTCACCATCCACTGGTGTTTATAGCCACTCCGAGAGCTGGAGCCAGTCTCTGCCCCTTCTGTGGTCTCATCCACTGAGCTGAGAGAGATACGGGCAGGGGAGGGGGGCACCCAGCCTGGCACAGGAAGAGAGGCTTAGAACAGGGAGATGGAGACAGACAGAGGAGAGAGAGGAATAGGAAGAAAGCTTTGACTCTCAGTCCATGTCCTTCTGTTGAGTCAGAGCTCTGAACATCCAAAGCTATAGGCTAAAAACGAGCTGTCAATGAAATAAATTAGTGGTGATATCTAGTGGTTTTATCTGTTTGTTTTTGGTGGAGTATAACGCATGCAGGAACACTTGCAAAGGAGATCACAGCAGATTCTTTTTTGACTTTCAAGAGGGGAACTAAATTGGGGTAAATTAAATTTAGGCTAGGTATTGGTAGTAAGACTTTGTATGTGATGTAGACTCTAAGATTAAATAAGTGCCAATTCCTTCATTATGCTAAATGTAAAGGAAGCAGGAGCGAGGACTAACCATGAGACATGGCTGTAGACTCCTATGGCGTTTAACCACAGCCAAGTCTTAGGGTTAGAGCTAGGACCAGACAACTAGAAAACAACAGCAGGCTAAATGTAGGCTAATGTAAATCAGCTGCTCATCATTACATTTTGGACAAGTCTGTGATGAGAAGGGGTTGACATTCCCCTAGAACAGTAAGCTACACATCACTGAACCCCCATTAGTTTTTGTTCTCTTCTAGCTATGGTCAAAACCACTCAGTCGCCTTGTGATTACAGTGTCCGCCCTGAGATTGGAAGGTTGGGAGTTAAGGAGATAGATTGGGGGTAAGTGCCTCCGTTCTGGCTAAGACTTGTGCAAGGCCTTGTGCAAGGCTACTTTACTTACTTACTAACTAGCTATGGTCAACACATCTCCCTTATCTCACAAATCAAGGGGCGTAAGAAATCAATCAAACCCATTAGCTGTTTTCCTCCTAGCATTATACTGATATAATTCCTATCTGTACAGCTTTATAAGTTGATTATATCCATCATGAAGCCCTTAAAATGAAATTACACCCCAGCAGTAGCTGCGAACCAGGCTTCCCTAACACGGGAGGTGTGACAACAACGTGATTTTGAAGGTATGGAATACGAGACTACACCAGCAGTAATGCCTTTCAACATGAGCAACAAATCATTGTAACCAACTTACGGAATGAATTGACATACATTATATGTGATTACCTCAGACATTCAATAAGATATAAACAATATACCAAACCTTGTTATTTTAATTTTTTAACTCTATAGCATTTTTTTTTTTTTTTTTTTTTTTTTTTTTTACAGTTTACACCAATTTTTTTTTATTTGCAATTATATGATTTTTTTGTCAGGCTTGCTTTCCAACATAAATAAATATTTGATCTGACAAAATTACCAATATATCTGTTTCATAAACAGTATTACAGTAAGTAGCTTAATGACTGGAGCTACAGTATCAAATGAATACATATTACAGTAAATGTCTCCCTCTGTTGACCAAGACCTGAAACTGTCTGCAGTGAGAGGAGGCTCAGTGAGCATACTGACCTCTGTGCGTGGGGCGCGACCCAGCCCCTGAGAGCGTGCGTGACCGTGGTCTCTCTCCCCTCCGCATCACAGCCCCTCCCAGATTGGCGGATTCGGACAGTGAGGGGAGCATCTCCCCCCTGAGCTCAGCCAGGTCATGTTCTGAGAAGGAGCGGTCCCGTTTCATGGATGTGGGTAAACTCTCAGCCCGGCAGAGCTCTCCTGAAGACTCCTCATCCTGCAGCAACAACAAGACAGGAGGAGGAGGAAATGGAACATGACTGCTTGTGTGAGAGGCTTTGTTGGTGGATGTTGTTGTAGTTGTTATTTTCTCTCTTTCCTCTCACCTCAAAAATATTCATCTCCTCCATCTCTTGAAGAGTAGGAGCTTTGAGCAGAACACGAGGACGAGATGGGGGTTGGGACCTAAGCTCTGAGACTGACAGGTCAATGCAGGAAGTAGATTTGAAATCACACGGGAAGGTGGGTGCCAGACAGGGCAGGGAGCCAAACGCTGGGGAATGAAACAACACACAAACACTGAACTCTCAAACACATTTAGAATACATGCCATGCTAGGTAGATGCTATGGGTCGTTCTTGAATTGTAGCGTCCCTTGCCTTTGCAACCATGAAAAACACTTTAAAATGACAAATAGTCCAATCAACTTTTATTCGTCACATGCTTCGTAAACAACAGGTGTAGACTAACAGTGAAATGCTTACTTACGGATCCTTCCCAAAAATGCAGAGAGAAATCATATAAAAGTAAAACACGTAATAATAAAAGTAATAAATACACAATGAGTAATGATAACTTGGCTATATAGACGGGGTATCAGTCGATGTTCAGGGGTATGAGGTAATTGAGATAGATATGTACATACACTGCATTTGGAAAGTATTCAGACCCCTTCACTTTTTCCACATTTTGTTACGTTACAGCCTTATTCTAAAATTGATTAAATAACAAAAAATCCTCATCAATCTACACACAATACCCCATAATGAAAAAGCAAAAACAGGTTTTTTAGAAATGTTTGCAAATGTATTAAAAATAAAAAACAGAAATACCATATTTACATTAGTATTCAGACCCTTTCTATGAGACTCGAAATTGAGCTCAGGAGAATCATGTTTCCATTGATCATCCTTGAGATGTTTCTACAACTTGATTGGAGTCCACCTGTGGTAAATTCAATTGATTAGACATGATTTGGAAAGGCACACACCTGTCTATATAAGGTCCCACAGTTGACAGTGCATGTCAGAGCAAAAACTAAGCCTTGAGGTCAAAGGAATTGTCCGTAGAGCTCCGAGACAGGATTGGGTCGAGGCACAGATCTGGGGAAGGGTACCAAACAATTTCTGCAGCATTGAAGGTCCCCAAGAACACAGTGGCCTCCATCATTCTTAAATGGAAGAAGTTTGGAACCACCAAGACTCTTCCTAGAGCTGGCCACCTGGCCAAAATGAGCAATCGGGGGAGCTCCAGAGTTCCTCTGTGGAGATGGGAGAACCTTTAAGAAGGACAAACATCTCTGCAGCACTCCACCAATCAGGCCTTTATGGTAGAGTGGCCAGACAGAAGCCACTCCTCAGTAAAAGGCACATGACAGCCCGTTTGGAGTTTGCCAAAAGGCACCTAAAGGACTCTCAGACCATGAGAAACAAGATTCTCGGGTCTGATGAAACCAAGATTGAACTCTTTGGCCTGAAAGCCAAGCGTCACGTCTGGTGGAAACCTGGCACCATCCCTACGGTGTGAAGCATGGTAGTGGCAGCATCATGCTGTGGGGATGTTTTTCAGCGGCAGGGACTGGGAGACTAGTCAGGATAAAGGGAAAGATGAATGGAGCAAAGTACAGAGCGATGCTTGATGAAAACCTGCTCCAGAGCGCTCTGGACCTCAGACTGGGGTGAAGGTTCACCTTCCAACAGGACAACGACCCTAAACACACAGCCAAGACAACGCAGGAGTGGCTTCGGGACAAGTCTCTGAATGTCCTTGAGTGGCCCAGCCAGAGCCCAGACTTGAACCCGATCTAACCTCTCTGGAGAGACCTGAAAATAGCTGTGCAGCGACGCTCCCCATCAAACCTGATAGAGCTTGAGAGGATCTGCAGGTGTGCCAACCTTATAGCGTCATACCCAAGGCTGTAATCACTGCCAAAGGTGCTTCAACAAAGTACTGAGTAAAGGGTCTGAATACTTATGTAAATGTGATATTTCCGTTTTTTCATTTGATTAATATGCAAAAATTTATAAAAACCTGTTTTTGCTTTGTTATTATGTGGCATTGTGTGTAGATTGATGAGAAAAAATAACAATTTAATCAATTTTAGAATAAGGCTGTAACGTAACAAAATGTGGACAAAGTCAAGGGGTCTGAATACTTTCCGAATGCAGTGTATAAATAGGAATAAAGTGACTGGGCAACAGGATAGATAATAAACAGTAGCAGCAACGTATCTGATGAGTAAAACAAATAGTTAGTGCAAAAAGGGTTTAATGCAGATAGTCCGGGTAGCTATTTGGTTAACTACAGTGGAGGCTGCTGAGCGGAGGACAGCTCTTAATAATGGCTAGAAAGGTGCAAATGGAATGGCATCAAACCATGTGTTTGATGTATTTGATACCATCCCACCTATTCCAATCCAGCCATTACCACGAGCCCGCAATTAAGGTGCCACCAGCCTCCTGTGGTTTAACTATTTAACTAATTATTAAGCAGTCTTATGGCTTGGGGGTAGAAGCTGTTCAGGGTCCTGTTGATTCCAGACTTGGTGCATCGGTACCACTTGCAGTGCGGTAGCAGAGAAAACAGTCTATGACTTGGGTGGCTAGAGTCTTTGATAATTTTTAGGGTTTTCCTCTGACACCGCCTGGTATAGAGGTCCTGGATGACAGGATATACTGGGCCGTACGCACTACCCTTTGTAGTGCCTTGCAGTCGGATGCCAAGCAGTTGCCATACCAAGCGGTGAAGCAGTCAGTCAAGATGCTCTCAATGGTGCAGCTGTAGAACGTTTTGACGATCTGAGGGCCCATGCAAAATCTTTTCAGAGTCCTGAGGTGGAAGAGGCGTTATCGTGCCCTCTTCATGACTGTGTTGGTGTGTGTGTACCATGAATGATCCTTAGTGATGTGGACACGGAGAAACTTGAAGCTCTCGACCAGCTCCACTTCAGCCACGTCGATGTGAATGGGGGCGTGCTCGGCCCTCCGTTTCCTGTAGTCCACGATCAGCTCCTTTGTCTCACTGACGTTGAGGGAGAGGTTGTTATCCTGGCACCACACTGCCAGGTCTCTGACCTTCTCCCTATAGGCTGTCTCATCGTCGTCGGTGATCAGGCTTACCACGGTCGTGTCGTCAGCAAACTTAATGATGGTGTTGGAGTCGTGCGCGGCCACACAGTCGTGGGTGAATAGGGAGTACAGAAGGGAATTAAGCACGCACCCCTGAGGGACCCCCCTGTTGAGGGTCAGCGTGGCAGACGTGTTGTTGCCTACCCTTACCACCTGGGAGCAGCCCGTGCGTCAATTCTAGTAACATAATAAAAAAATCTGCATTAAAATCCGTCAGTTTAAGCTAAAGATATATATATTTTTTGGCATGGGCTGTGTCTCAATCCACCGCATCCACATCTGCGGAGGAAGGTGGCCGAGTTACAGCGGTGTTTGTCAGACCATGAGACATTTTGAAAGTCGGTCTTCTCACGAAAACGTCTGTAGCGTCCGAGCGGTTTTGACCACTCTATGAAAAGGGGAGACTCTCACGAACACGGTGGTGTTCTCCGTTTTGCTCTTCGTCATGCACAAGTGTCATGGGACTCATCTGAAGGTAACCCATACAAACGAATGGAAGTATGTAGGTAGTTTTGTGCCAACAAAAATAAGGAGTTAAATATGTGTCCAAAAAAACAATTCCTGAACTTTCTTATATCTCCTAGATATAGGACTGACACTTCAAAACCTTATTCCTCATGATTTATTTTTTGACTGTCTTTTTTTCCATTTATATATGTTATTCAATGCGTTTCTATAGGCTATATTAGTAAAAGCCAAATTCTAAATAATCCATGGTATGACCATCTTTGTGGCCTCCATTTCAGAATATCCTCATTTAGCTAAAATGTCTAATTGGTTTTACCATTACTGGTGTTACTACTCCTACTGGTGGCACAATGTTATCATAATGGTACAAATGATTTAAAGTCATTAAGCTACCATAGTAGTTGATGTAGAATGGGAATATGTACCCAAATACATTTAAATAAAAACAATTATACAAAACTTAATTTCTTCCAAAATGCCATGCCCAAATGCCACCATAATTCAAGAACGACCCATATAGTTCTAAGTGTTAATGCACTGGCTGTGATGCCCATACATCTCTTGGAGCTGGGTGGGTCCACAGGCTTCAGTTTGCGCTCCTGTTTGATTTCAGCGAGGATGCGTTCATGAAGGGACTGCTGCTCCTGAGGAGGAGGGGGCAGGTTGCGCTCCGACGCCTAGCATGCAACATAACACAACACAACACACAGGCAGACTGAGAACACAGGAGAAACCGACACAGACACACAGGACACAGTCTCAGACTGTGACTCACTGACCAGTCTATGTACTCACTGACCAGTCTATGTACTGGCACAGGCACACAGCAGTCACGTCAACAGAAGGGTGACCACATTTAAAATACCCAAATGCGTGATGATTTCGCGGGACATTCGTGGTACAGTGTAGCTTTTTTTTGTCACCCTCCCGCTCATGGTGTAGTGCTAATTGTTTTAGGTGCCGGAGCGCAATAAAAATGTTAATGACATCATAATTTCTCAAAGTTTGTACAGACAGATGTAGCCTATTGAATATAATTATAGAATATGCATAAAATGCATCCTCCAATTGCAACGTCTGCCTATACCCACACATACTGTCTCATGAACATGTTATATTTCCAATAGGCCTACCCTCAAACACCAAGTTAGGAATACCTCATTTTCAATATAGGCCATCATCACTGTCTCGTGAATGGGAATTCTTCACGTTTTACGGTGAAACGTCCAAATCTGCATTGAATTACTGTTTTGGGAGCAAATTAGAGCAGATGGTGTTAACAAACTTTATAGCCTTCCTGTATTCTGTTTCAATCATGGAAGTCCAGAGAGGATTTGAAAAACTCCCTCATTCAGACATCACAAAAACATTTTCTTGCGATCAGGACATAAACGTTTTTTTGTCGAGATCACAAGATAATTTTCTCGTGATCACGACATTAAAAGTAGTTTTGTTGAGATCACCAGATAAACTCTATAAATAGGAGTGGAGGTATTGATGATAGATTGACAGTATGGCTGAGGCGGCAGAGCCCATGGTGGATCAGCACATCCATTTTTAGTTTGATTAGGGATTAACCCAGGTAGAAATTGCATTATGCCTGTCAGTTACACTGCTACTCCTACTGCTCTCTCCTCGTCTGACCATGTGTTCTCGCATACCCCGAGAGCATCTGGTCAGCGGGGTGGTGGCACAGGAATCCTCATCTCTCCCAAGTGGACATTCTCTCTTTCTCCCCTGACCCATCTGTTTATATCCTCATTTGAATTCCATGCTGTCACAGTCACTAGCCCATTCAAGCTTAACATCCTTATCATTTATCGCCCTCCAGGTTCCCTTGGAGAGTTCATCATTGAGCTTGACGCCTTGATAAGTTCCTTTCCTGAGGATGGCTCACCCCTCACAGTTCTGGGTGACTTTAACCTCCCTACGTCTACCTTTGACTCATTTCTCTCTGCCTCCTTCTTTCCACTCCTCTCCTCTTTTGACCTCACCCTCTCACCGTCCCCCCTACTCACAAGGCAGGCAATACGCTTGACCTCATCTTTACTAGATGCTGTTCTTCTACTAATCTCACTGCAACTCCCCTCCAAGTCTCAGACCACTACTTTGTATCATTTTCTCTCTCGCTTTCCTCCAACACTACTCACTCTGCCCCTACTCAGATGGTAATGTGCCGTCCCAACCTTCGCTCTCTCTCTCCTGCTACTCTCTCCTCTTCCATCCTATCATCTCTTCCCTCTGCTCAATCCTTCTCCCTCCAATCTCCTAAATCTGCCTCCTCAACCCTCCTCTCCTCCCTTTCTGCATCCTTTGACTCTCTATGTCCCCTGTTAATTATTTATGCATAGTGACTTTAACTCTACCCACATGTACATATTACCTCAACTACCTCAACTAGCCGGTGCCCCCGCACATTGACTCTGCAACGGTATCCCCCTGTATATATAGCCTCCCTACTGTCACTTTATTTTACTTCTGCTCTTTTTTTTCTCAACACTTTTTTTGTTGTTGTTTTATTTTTACTTTTTTTGTTAAAAATAAATGCACTGTTGGTTAAGGGCTGTAAGTAAGCATTTCACTGTAATGTCTGCACCTGTTGTATTCGGCGCATGTGACCAATAAAATGTGATTTGATTTGATTTGATCCTCCCAGCCGGCTCGGTCCTCCCCTCCTGCTCCGTGGCTTGACGACTCATTGCGAGCTCACAGAACAGGGCTCCGGGCAGCCGAGCGGAAATGGAGGAAAACTAGACTCCCTGCGGACCTGGCATCTTTTCACTCCCTCCTCTCTACATTTTCTTCCTCTGTTTCTGCTGCTAAAGCCACTTTCTACCACTCTAAATTCCAAGCATCTGCCTCTAACCCTAGGAAGCTCTTTGCCACCTTCTCCTCCCTGCTGAATCCTCCTCCTCCTCCCCCTCCCTCCTCCCTCTCTGTGGATGACTTCATCAACCATTTTGAAAAGAAGGTTGACGACATCCGATCCTCGTTTGTTAAGTCAAATGACACCGCTGTTCCTGCTCACACTGCCCTACCCTATGCTTTGACTTCTTTCTCCCCTCTCTCTCCAGTAAAATCATGCGACTTGTGAAGGCCGGCCACCCAACAACCTGCCCGCTTGACCCTATCCCCTCCTCTCTTCTCCAGACCATTTCCGGAGACCTTCTCCCTTACCTCACCTCGCTCATCAACTCATCCTTGACCGCTGGCTATGTCCCTTCCGTCTTCAAGAGAGCGAGAGTTGCACCCCTTCTCAAAAAACCTACACTCGATCCCTCTGATGTCAACAACTACAGACCAGCATCCCTTCTTTATTTTCTCTCCAAAACTATTGAGCGTGCCGTCTTTAGCCAACTCTCTTGCTATCTCTCCCAGAATGACCTTCTTGATCCAAACCAGCCTTGTTTCAAGACTGGTCATTCAACTGAGACTGCTCTTCTCTGTGTCACGGAGGCTCTCCGCACTGCTAAAGCTAACTCTCTCTCCTCTGCACTCGTCCTTCTTGACCTATCTGCTGCCTTTGATACTGTGAACCATCAGATCCTCCTCTCCACCCTCTCCGAGTTGGGCATCTCCGGCGCGGCTCACTCTTGGATTGCGTCCTACCTGACAGGTCGCTCCTACCAGGTGGCGTGGCGAGAATCTGTCTCCGCACCAGGTGCTCTCACCACTGGTGTCCCCCAGGGCTCAGTTCTAGGCCCTCTCCTATTCTCGCTATACACCAAGTCACTTGGCTCTGTCATATCCTCACATGGCCTCTCCTATCATTGCTACGCAGACGACACACAATTAATCTTCCCCTTTCCCCCTTCTGATAACCAGGTGGCGAATCGCATCTCTGCATGTCTGGCAGACATATCAGTGTGGATGACGGATCACCACCTCAAGCTGAACCTCGGCAAGACGGAGCTGCTCTTCCTCCCGGGGAAGGACTGCCCATTCCATGATCTCGCCATCACGGTTGACAACTCCGTTGTGTCCTCCTCCCAGAGTGCAAAGAGCCTTGGCGTGACCCTGGACAACACCCTGTCGTTCTCCGCTAACATCAAGGCGGTGACCCGATCCTGCAGGTTCATGCTCTACAACATTTGCAGAGTACGACCCTGCCTTAGACAGGAAGCGGCACAGGTCCTAATCCAGGCACTTGTCATCTCCCGTCTGGATTACTGCAACTCGCTGTTGGCTGGGCTCCCTGCCTGTGCCATTAAACCCCTACAACTCATCCAGAACGCCGCAGCCCGTCTGGTGTTCAACCTTCCCAAGTTCTCTCACGTCACCCCGCTCCTCCGCACACTCCACTGGCTTCCAGTTGAAGCTCACATCTGCTACAAGACCATGGTGCTTGCCTACGGAGCTGTGAGGGGAACGGCACCTCCGTACCTTCAGGCTCTGATCAGTCCCTACACCCAAAACGAGGGCATTGTGTTCATCCACCTCTGGCCTGCTGGCCCCCCTACCTCTGCGGAAGCACAGTTCCCGCTCAGCCCAGTCAAAACTGTTCGCTGCTCTGGCACCCCAATGGTGGAACAAGCTCCCTCATGACGCCAGGACAGCGGAGTCACTCACCACCTTCCGGAGACACTTGAAACCCCACCTCTTTAAGGAATACCCGGGATAGGATAAAGTAATCCTTCTACCCCCCCTTACCCCACCCCAAAAAATTAAATAAAAATATTATAAAGTGGTTGTCCCACTGGCTATCATAAGGTGAATGCACCAATTTGTAAGTCGTTCTGTATAAGAGCGTCTGCTAAATGACGAAAATGTAAATGTAAATGTAGTTATACAGTGACTTGCGAAATTATTCACCCTCCTTGGCATTTTTCCTATTTTGTTGCCTTACAACCTGGAATTACATTTGAATTTTTTGGGGGGGGTTGTATCATTTGATTTACACAACATGCCTACCACTTTGAAGATGCAAAATACTTTTTGGGGTGAAACAAAACTTGAGCGTGCATACAGTGGGGGAAAAAAGTATTTAGTCAGCCACCAATTGTGCAAGTTCTCCCACTTAAAAAGATGAGAGAGGCCTGTAATTTTCATCATAGGTACACGTCAACTATGACAGACAAATTGAGAAGAAAAAAATCCAGGAAATCACATTGTAGGATTTTTAATGAATTTATTTGCAAATTATGGTGGAAAATAAGTATTTGGTCAATAACAAAAGTTTCTCAATACTTTGTTATATACCCTTTGTTGGCAATGACACAGGTCAAACGTTTTCTGTAAGTCTTCACAAGGTTTTCACACACTGTTGCTGGTATTTTGGCCCATTCCTCCATGCAGATCTCCTCTAGAGCAGTGATGTTTTAGGGCTGTCGCTGGGCAACACAGACTTTCAACTCCCTCCAAAGATTTTCTATGGGATTGAGATCTGGAGACTGGCTAGGCCACTCCAGGACCTTGAAATGCTTCTTACGAAGCCACTCCTTTGTTGCCCTGGCGGTGTGTTTGGGATCATTGTCATGCTGAAAGACCCAGCCACGTTTCATCTTCAATGCCCTTGCTGATGGAAGGAGGTTTTCACTCAAAATCTCACGATACATGGCCCCATTCATTCTTTCCTTTACACGGATCAGTCGTCCTGGTCCCTTCGCAGAAAAACAGCCCCAAAGCATGATGTTTCCACCCCCATGCTTCACAGTAGGTATGGTGTTCTTTGGATGCAACTCAGCATTCTTTGTCCTCCAAACACGACGAGTTGAGTTTTTACCAAAATGTTATATTTTGGTTTCATCTGACCATATGACATTCTCCCAATCCTCTTCTGGATCATCCAAATGCACTCTAGCAAACTTCAGACGGGCCTGGACATGTACTGGCTTAAGCAGGGGGACACGTCTGGCACTGCAGGATTTGAGTCCCTGGCGGCGTAGTGTGTTACTGATGGTAGGCTTTGTTACTTTGGTCCCAGCTCTCTGCAGGTCATTCACTAGGTCCCCCCGTGTGGTTCTGGGATTTTTGCTCACCGTTCTTGTGATCATTTTGACCCCACGGGGTGAGATCTTGCGTGGAGCCCCAGATCGAGGGAGATTATGAGTGGTCTTGTATGTCTTCCATTTCCTAATAATTGCTCCCACAGTTGATTTCTTCAAACCAAGCTGCGTACCTATTGCAGATTCAGTCTTCCCAGCCTGGTGCAGGTCTACAATGTTGTTTCTGGTGTCCTTTGACAGCTCTTTGGTCTTGGCCATAGTGGAGTTTGGAGTGTGACTGTTTGAGGTTGTGGACAGGTGTCTTTTATACTGATAACAAGTTCAAACAGGTGCCATTAATACAAGTAACGAGTGGAGGACAGAGGAGCCTCTTAAAGAAGAAGTTACAGGTCTGTGAGAGCCAGAAATCTTGCTTGTTTCTAGGTGACCAAATACTTATTTTCCACCATATTTTGCAAATAAATTCATTAAAAATCCTACAATGTGATTTTCTGGATTTTTTTTCTCAATTTGTCTGTCATAGTTGACGTGTACCTATGATGAAAATTACAGGCCTCTCTCATCTTTTTAAGTGGGAGAACTTGCACAATTGGTGGCTGACTAAATACTTTTTTTCCCCACTGTAACTATTCACCCCCCCAAAGTCAATACTTTGTAGAGCCACCTTTTGCAGCAATTACTGCTGCAAGTCTCTTGGGCTATGTCTATATTAGCTTGGCACATCTAGCCACTGGGATTTTGGCCCATTCTTCAAGGCAAAACTGCTCCAGCTCCTTCAAGCTGGTGTACAGCAATCTTTAAGTCATACCACAGATTCTCAATTGGATTGAGGTCTGGCCTTTGACTAGGCCATTCCAAGACATTTAAATGTTTCCCCTTAAACCTCTCGAGTGTTGCTTTAGCAGTATGCTTAGTGTCATTGTCCTGCTGGAAGCTGAACCTCCGTCCCAGTCTCAAATCTTTGGAAGACTGAAACAGGTTTCCCTCAAGAATTTCCCTGTATTTAGCGCCATCCATCATTCCTTCAATTCTGACCAGTTTCCCAGTCCCTGCCGATGAAAAACATCCCCACAGCATGGTGCTGCCACCACCATGCTTCACTGTGGGGATGGTGTTCTCGGGGTGATGAGAGGTGTTGGGTTTGCGCCAGACATAGCGTTTTCCTTGATGGCCAAAAAGCTCAATTTTAGTCTCATCTGACCAGAGTAGCTTCTTCCATATGTTTGGGGAGTCTCCCACATGCCTTTTGGTGAACACCAAACGTGTTTGCTTATTTTTTTCTTTAAGCAATGACTTTTTTCTGGCCACTCTTCCGTAAAGCCCAGCTCTGTGGAGTGTACGGTTTAAAGTGGTCCTATAGACAGATACTCCAATCTCCGCTGTGGAGTTAATCGTTTTAACAGGGAGGTTTTTCTGTCAATAGCAGCAAAAACACAGTTACAAACAACAATTAACAAGTAGTACAGAAAAATATAAATACTAAAACAGGTGAAGTGAATCACATGCTGAGGTTTCTAAATACTCCAACATTTCATGAAGGCTACAGTCTATTTGTCATTTCAGCCATAAATGGTGGGGAAAATGTTGTGGTGTTGAAGGACAGCTCCACCATTCATCCAGTAATAAAAATCATCTCACTGACTAGATACATACTGTAACGTGCAGTTTGTTTGGAATTTGTAATTCCTCAGTTTGCCACTGTTTGCCTTTTATTGCCAGAGCTTTGATAAGAAGGTCCAGGCCTATATACTAGCACACATCTACTTACAACAGATGTGCTCTAATCAAAGGTCTTAGATCTTACTGCCTTTGGTCCACTATGACACAGCTGTCAATCTATCATCAATACGTCTACTCCTATTTATAGAGTTTATCTTGTGATCTCGACAAAACAACTGTTGTTATGTCGTGATCATGAGATAAATAAGTCTTGATCTCGACATAATGAGGGAATACTTTTTTTATTCATATGTCCTCTCTGGACTTCCGTAGTCCTCTCCAAGTTTAGCTGAAATTTAGCCCGAAAGGATTTAGAAAAATGTGATTGGTTGACGATAGGCCTATGACATTGCCTAGGTCTCGTCTTGTGCTGCGCATAATATCAGATTTCAACAACGATTGGAGAAGTGTTTAACCTCACCAGTACTACATCCTTATAATATATATATTTTCATAAGCCAACGTGACTGCAAGAGACAGGTTCGAATTTCTGACTGAAATATGGGACAAATCTACCTTTTTTTCTAAAGTAGTGGTGTTTGAATTTGTTGATAAAATGCAGGACATGATTGTTTGGTTGCAGGAAAAAGGGACAAAATGCAGGACTGTCCCGCACAATCTGGGACATGTGGTCACCCTAGTCAACAGAATAAATTGTAATTGAAGGGACACTCACTGGTTTCAGTGGAGGGCGAGACCTGATGAAGTCCAAAATAAGCTCATGGGCATTTCTTTTCACTCGTGTGGGGATGTCACCATCCTCCTTCAGAGAGAAAATAAGCGAGGGCAGGGAGATAAATACAGGAGAAATAACTACTGTCATACATAAATAACTACATTTCCCATGAAAATGGGTTGAATTATAGGTTGTATAATTCTGTGTTCATTCTGTCTAATCCATTGATCAAGAGTCCTCTATCAGTACCAATACCCAGCTCACCATGACTTTCCGCAGCTGGAACTTGCGGGTGCGGATGTCCTGCATGAGCATCTCAAAGGGTGTGAGGCTGAACTCAGTGGGCAGTGGGTCAAACTCATGCTCCTGCACCTTCTTCAGCTTCACCCCCTGTCTCAGCTCCTTCATCAACTGGACCCAGAGACGAGTCTGAAATACACATATACAGTGTCTTCAGAAAGTATTCATACCCCTTTACTTTTTCCACATTCTGTTGTGTTACAGACTGAATTTAAAATGGATTAAATTGAGATTGTGTCACACACAATACCCCATAATGTCAAAGTGGAATTTTGTTTGTAGAAAATGTCAATAAGTATTCAACCCCTTTGTTATGGCAAGCCTAAATAAGTTCAGGAGTCAAAATGTGCTTAACAAATCACATAATAAGTTGCATGGACTCACTCTGTGTGCAATAATAGTGTTTAACATGATTTTTGAATGACTACACAGTCTCTGTACCCCACACATACAATTATCTGTAAGGTCACTCAAACGAGTAGTGAATTTCAAGCACAGATTCAACCACAAAGTCCAGAGAGGTTTTTTAATGCCTTGCAAAGAAGGGCACCGATTGGTAGACGTAAATAAAAAAAGTACAAAAAATAACAGACGTTGAATATCCCTTTGAGCATGGTGAAGTTATTAATTAGGTTTTGGATGGTGTATCAATACACCCAGTCACTACAACGATACAGGCGTCCTTCCTAACTCAGTTGCCAGTTAGGAAGGAAACCGCTCAGGGCTTTCACAATTTTTTATTTTTTATTTTTTTATTTAACCTTTATTTAACCAGGTAAGCCAGTTGAGAACAAGTTCTCATTTACAACTGCGACCAGGCCAAGATAAAGCAATGAGGCCAATGGTGACTTTAAAACAGTTACAGAGTTAAATGGCTGTGACAAGAGAAAAGTAAGGATGGATCAACAACATTGTAGTTACTCCACAATACTAACCTAAATCACAGAGTGAAAAGAAAGAAGGCTGTACAGAATAAAATTATTCCAAAACATGCATCCTGTTTGTAACAAGGCACTTAAGTAATACTGCAAATGTGGCAAAGAAATTAACTTTTTGTCCTGAATAGAAAGCGTTATGTTTGGGGCAAATCCAACACATCACTGAGTATCACTTCATATTTTCAAGCATGGTGGTGGCTGCATCATGTTAAGGGTATGCTTGTCATCGGCAAGGACTACATAGTTTTTTTTGGGATAAAAAGAAACTGAAAAATCCTAAAGGAAAACCTGGTTCGGTCTTCATCCCAACAGAAACTGGGAGACAAATTCACCTTTCAGCAATAACCTAAAACACAAGGCCAAATCTACACTGGGGTTGCTTACCAAGACGACATTGAATGTTCCTGAGTGGCCTAGTTGCAGTTTTGACTTAAATCGGCTTGAAAGTCTATGGCAAGACTTGAAAATGGCTTTCTAGCAATGATCAACAACCAACTTGAAGAATTTAAAAAATAATAATGGGCAAATATTGTACAATCCAGCAGTGCAAAACTCTTAAGAGACTTAGCCAAAAAGACTCACAGCTGTAATCCCTGCCAAAGGTGTTTCTAACATGTATTGTCTCAGGGGGGTGAATACTTATCTAATCAAGATATACAGTATTACTGTTTGATTTTCATACTTAACAAAAAAAAATTTTTAAGACTTTTTCTTCCACTTTGAATTACAGAGTATTTTATGTAAATCATTGACCAAAAATTACAATTAAATCAATTTTAATCCCACTTTGCAAAACAATACAATTTGGAAAAAGTCAAGGGGTGTGAATACTTTCTAAAGGCAGTGTACACTCACACATAAGCCCTCATGTACCTCACACACCCCATCAACCCAATGAAGGAACATATCCTCACCTACACACACAGTGACACAGACAAACACACACACTCTCTGAATCTCACCCAGTCTGTGCGTTTCAGTGCATCGATCTCAGCCCGATCTTCCTGAGGATCCTCTCCTTTGATCTTCTTCAGCATCTACAGAGATATGATAATACACTGGTAATAACACCACTATTCAGTTCAAAATAATTTCAGAGCTTTACATTTACATTTGAGTTATTTCGCAGACGCTCTTATCCAGAGCGACTTACAGTTAGTGAGTGCATACATTTTCATACTAGTCCCCCGTGGGAATCGAACCCACAACCCTGGCGTTGCAAGCGCCATGCTCTACCAACTGAGCTACACGAGACACATGACGGCTCTGTAATCTCTGATATAGAGACAAAATCAGGAACATACCTCCTTGGCATTTCGGATTTTGATCAGGAAGGTTTGTAGCTCAAGAGTCTCAACAAACAAGGCTCGGCACACGGCCTGGTAGTGCTCTGGAGCAAGGGCAGGGTTGGCCAATCTGGAGGCGCACAGTGTCATCACCTGGCTGAATGTACACACTGGTCTTATAGGCCCCTTTTCTCCCTCCTCTTCCTCTTCCTCCTCCTCCTGTCCACTGTAGCCCTCATCTGTTGTTCCGTTGCCACCGCTGCAGTCAGCCCCCAGGCTGTGATCTCCTCCCACCATGCGCTCAATGAGCCGCTCCAACTGAGGACTCAGCTCCCGCTCCTCACTGTCATCTAGTCCCCAGTCCAGGGCCTGGTAGATGGCCACGCCCAGAGACTGAACCAGCTGAGGAAACAGAAACAAGTGATAGAGGAAATAAATAGGACTGAACAGCTGGAGGCCTTGAGGTGGAGGGAAAAGGGACAGCTCCAAATATGGAGACTGGCAGAGCAGACGTGGATTTATAGTTGAGAAAAGAGGGAAAAGACTGACATTCACCTATGACAGTGGGTTGTGTATTACAGGGTAGGAATGAGGGGTTCAGAAACTCACCTGGCGCTCTGCGATTGGTGGGAGGGGAGGTCCATCTGTGTCATCTATGAAGACAAGAAAGTAGGCATGCAGCTGCATTACCTCAGCAACAAAAACTGTTTATGCCTGCTCTCCTCCCTGACATGGTCTGGAGCGCTCCATTTATTTCACACATTGTTGATACAATATATTCTGTATTGATCTGAGAAATATTGGCTTTTTAGATCTGAAAAAGGTTATAACTCCTTAATATAGCTTTGGGTTACTTTGCATTTCATGGGTCTAAATATGAATAGAACATATGATATACAGTAGAAAATACAGACAAAATGCGTCATTTTCCCACCATTGATCCCTTTATGACTCTAAAATGCGAATTTTTTATTTCACAGTCATTACATTCTATATAGCTCATGTGCTGCAGTCACAACTTAGCTAGCCCGTGTGTACAGGGGAGTGCAGGGCTCAGATGTCAGTAATGACACCCGGGAGGCCTGAAACTACACGTTCAGCACAGCAGCCTGGCAGAACCGGAGACTAGTGGAGAGGGCTGGGTGAGGGGTCAGTGCTGCTCTTTCTGTCCAGAACAAAGCACTGGGCTAGGCCCAGATTAACAGAGCCTATCTAAATATATCCGTGCCGTGGGCAAAGAGTCTGCCTGACACAAAGTGGTAGTACTGTTCTCTTTCAGGAGGGTAAAGACATTTCTATTCAAGCCCCTCAGAAGCAGAGTAATAGATCCTTTCTGAACCATTAGACAGGTTTCATTATGGCCGGTCAGGGTCACGTAACCAATGACACAGACAGTGTCTCAGAGAGAACATGGAGTCTTTCATCTTGTGCATGTCTGGTGATGATAGTTAGGCTGCATTTAGAGAGGCAGCCCAATTCTGATATTTTTTTACCTAATTTGCCAATCAGATATGCTCTGAAAAAGATCTGATGTGAAAAGATCTGATGTGATTGGTCAAAAGACCAATTTGTGGAAATAATATGAGAATCGGGCTGCCTGTGTCAACGCAGCCTTATTTCTCTTTCAGGCAATGTTTTCAAGATTTCATCTATTTTGGAGCGGTTTTATGTCTGCTGCCCCTGTGATTTCCCCCACTCAAAATATGGACCATGCCATCTGTTGCCATGGAAATATGGGGGACAAGAAATTAACATAAAAAACAGAGGGAGGAACACATTTTATTTATTTATTTATTTTAATACGTGCATCAGAGAGAACTATAGGGAAAAGAGAGGGCACGGGACAGAATATAGAGAGAGTGAGATTACTAGTGACCTCACCAGGTACAATCCAAATACAAAAACATCAACTTCCTGGTGACCTCATTCATACTCAGTATAAAACACACCCTTAGTAGCCTAACCTTAACCCTTTACCAACAATCCCTATAGCCTACTTCATTACTCACTCATTTGCCAGGGTTAAGTAATTGTGATGACCAGACAGATTGTGATGTGTGATGAAAGTCCAGAACATCATAAGTATCCAACTGTACCCATACTGACCAACTGCATCAATAATGCAATACAATTGGGTCATCAGCAAGGACACATGTACTATGCAGTAATATCCTTTGTTGCGCCCATTAAATTGACTGACTAACTTCTGGAAATGGTCCCATAAATGTAGACAACAAAAACGTCCAAGAAACACTCCCAAGACAAGATGACCACAGTGACCCTGACCCTGTAGTGGGCTATCAACAACTGTCTCTGTTATTAATTGTGATTTACATTGTTCATTATATACTTTTGTCATTGTCCAATAATAATAAAAACAAAAAAGTATTTCTATATTTGGGCCTATACAACTCTGTCTCAACAACTGATCTATAGCCTAAACTACTGGATGACCTTTTGTCCAAGGTGTTGTGACATCATTTCTGTGTTTTGTTTACGCTACTTGTATTACCTCTTACAAAGTAGCCCATTTAAAATGAAATAGAAAGTGATTGTGATTTCATATTTTTCTCTAATGTATGTGTTATTTCCATGGTCACCCTTAATGTTGCAACATTTCGTAATTTACTACCCTACTATCTCTTTCCACTCCCAGTTGTATCCTTTATCTTATCATGTCATGGCCCAGTTAGTTTTTCTAGTTTTTCTTTGGGCCCTAGGCCCATAGAGCATGCTGGTATTTTCTTGGCATCCAAAGGGATCCTATAACCAAATCACTTGTGAATGGTAAACAGATTACAAATCTGCACAATACCTCTAAAGTCTAAACCTTCTGTAACAAATCGATACATGGGGGAATTGCACTGTATGAATAATTGCCAATCCAAGCCATCCCTGTGTGGGGAGGGAGTGCAACTGACGCATTTAGTGTGAATTGCCCATTCAAAACAATATACCATGTTGCAATTATAGCCTACAAATAGGGAATCAATAGCCTATCAAATTCATTGAGCAATAGCTGAAAGGCCTATAATAAATAATATTTTAGGCTATAGTTTTAATGAAGGTATTTTGGTGCAGCACAGGACAGTCAGGAAGTTAGATAAATAAATAAGATGAGCTAACAAAGCTCTCTTACCGTTGTTGCAGGGTTCTTGCTGTGGGGAAACCGTCCCATCCCTGAGTAGGAGTATAGAGGACGGGTCCTTCACCAGGTAAACTACACTGGTCACAGTGGCGGGGTGCGGCACTCTCAGCCCGCTGCAGCATTGATAACAGACCGCCCAAGCCTGCTCCTCGTTTATGGGCTGCTCGTAAGATTTCAGCACTTCTTCAAGAGACAGTTCTCTGGGGTCTCTCAGGTCCCGCGCCTCTGCCCGGTCCGTGGTAGCGGACACCCTTGAATCCCCATCCTTGGCGCTTCTGTTTGTTGATCTGGCCATGGCTGCTGTAGGCTACCGATCCCATTACTCCGCCGGCTCTGAGGCCATTATCTGTTAACGCCGGGTTCGTTCCTTCCCCACAGCACGCCAACTCAACTGCCGCTGCTGAGATTTACCATGACACCAAACGAAAGCGATCTTTGATCTGCATGAATGTCAATCAGTGCAGAAAGGAGAGGAGGCGGGAGGAGGAAACCTTACGCCAGTGGCGCAATCAACCTGGAAGGCGAAAAACGGGCAAACTTGTTGAAAATGTTTGACCACCGGCCAGAAGTGTTAACAAATTATTAAAATATATATTAATCCTTAAAGATTATTGTTATTGAGAGAACAGACCATAACCTCAGGTTTGACAGTCTGGTTCCCAGATTCTCGGCTCCACTGCGGCCCATCCCAGCAGCCCCTGTGCTCCGCCCCTGTCTCACGCAGCCTGAGCATCATCCAACCAGCCACAAAATATTAAACCACAAACATATCAAAGTAGGCTACAGGGCGACCTCAACGCTTTGAGATTGTCAGTCCTCACCTGCGCATTTTTAGACAAACCAACAGAAGCAGTGCATCATGCAGCAATTAACTCATGAGATTCAACCCCTATATAGGTTCAAGGGAATAATAACCTGCCAACTACTCAACAAGAGCTTGTAAAGGATTTATAACTGTAAGTAGTTAGACTGTTCATCATGAGAAAATATATAGTATAGTGTAGTTTTTAAATCAGTAATAACCTTGTAATAAGCATTGCTTGAAAATGTCATTAATTGACTACAGCTCAGTGTTCAACACTATTGTCCCCTCCAAGCTCGTCACCAAACTTAGGACCCTGACGGACCGACCCCAGGTGGTGAGGGTCGGCAACATCACCTCCACCACGCTGACCCTCAACATGTGGGCCCGACAGGGGTGTGTGCTTAGTCCCCTCCTGTACTCCCTGTTCACCGACGACTGCGTGGCCACGCACGACTCCAACACCATCATCAAGTTTGCTGACGACACGATGGTGGTAGGCTTGATCACAGGTACTGTAGGTGGTCAGTGACCTGGCAGTGTCAATAAGATCAATGAGCTGATCGTGGACTACAGGATAGGGGGGGCGAGCACGCCCCCATCCACATTAACGGGACTGCACTGGAGCAGGTTGAGAGTTTCAAGTTCCCCGGTGTCCAAATCACTAAGGACTTAAAATGGTCCACACACATGCGCACAGTCGTAAAGAAGGCACAACAGCGCCTCTTTCCCCTAAGGAGGTTGAAAAGGTTTGGCATGGGCCCACAAATCCTCAAAAAGTTCTAAAGCTGTACCATTGAGACCATCTTGACTGGCCTCATCACTGCTTGGTATGGCAACAGCACCGCCCTGGATCGCATGGCGCTACAGAGGGTGGTGCGGACAGCCCAGTACATCACTGGGGCCGAGCTCCGTGCCATTCAGGTCCTCTATATCAGGAGGTGTGAAAGGAAGGTCCGTAAAATTGTTAAAAACTCCAGCCACCCAAGCCATAGACTGTTGTTGTGCTGTGCTCACTTTACATTTTTACATTTACATTTTAGTCATTTAGCAGACACTCTTATCCAGAGCGACTTACAGTTAGTGAGTGCATACATTACATATTTCTCATACTGGCCCCCCGTGGGAATCGAACCCACAACCCTGGCGTTGCAAACGCCGTGCTCTACTAACATCCCTGCCGGCCATTCCCTCCCCTACCCTGGACGACGCTGGGCCAATTGTGCGCCGCCCCATGGGTCTCCCGGTCGGGGCCGGCTACGACAGAGCCTGGATTCGACCCAGGATCTCTAGTGGCACAGCTAGCACTGCGATGCACAGTGCCTTAGACCACTGCGCCACTCGGGAGATGAACAGGAAGGTGGCGCGACGGTCCTTCTTGTGGGTAAATTTTGTCATCAAATTTTGTCATCAAAGTCCGGCATTCTCTGGATTCATGGTGCTTTCAAGACAACTGGGAACAAACAAGGTCGAATCAGTGATTTTCAGGTTGGAGCTCTAGAAAGAGGCCCGAGTTCCAGACTTGGAATTCCGAGTTGGATGACCATTCAAAACGTATTTTCCCAGTCGGAGCTCGTTTTTTCCAAGTTCCAAGTTGAACTCACTGAAGTCTGAGTTTTCCCAGTTCTAAGTTTCCAGTTGTTTTGAATGCAGCAGAAGTCATGCTGGAGTGACAGCATGGCCAATGTATTCAACCTTTTCTGGCCCATGGCGTTGTATGTGAATGTTTATCCTTTTAAGCTTGGAAAAGAGGCCCTTTCAGACAGATGTTTTAAATCCTTAAACCCAGACTTGGACCACACACCCACTCCACCGAATAGCAGGCAGGGGAAACAAAATAGAGATTGCTTTGCAACGCTTGCAGTTAGCCACTGATTCCTTACGAAACACTCATTGTTGAATTTGCGATTTCCGACTTATGTAATGTTTATGTCCAATAGTCGATGAGCACTGATACGTTTTATCTATAATTTCTCTTCATACGACAAGGATTGAAAAAGATTTGCCAGTAGATTGTCTACGTGTTTCATGATGATGACTGCTTGTCTAGCATGCTAGCTAAGATTTTGAAAGTATGATTTTGACATGATCAGTCCAATCGAAACTACAGTAGATATAACGTGATTTGACGTCATTTTATCTGTGGCCAATGACCTTGAGCCTTCTTGGATGGGCACTTCTAATGTAAATCTATGGCAGCACCCAACGGGCTTGAACTGCCTAGCTCTCCCTGTAGATTCTGTGGTGAGGTAGTGTCCCCATGAGTGACAGAACACGGAGCCAATCACGGCGCAACTAGAGAAGATTACCAATGCCTACGCTCTGCATTTTCCGCTGGCTGCCCCTCCACCACAGAAAGCACTGAGCTAGGCTGAAACACCTGCATTTTGGAGCTGCCTTACTCAAGAAAGCAAGAAAGAACCATGTTTGTATGCGGTTTATTCACTCAATAAATTTGTTTTTTACATTGTTTGCAAACTAATATGTGACACGAATTAATGCCAAAATAACATGCAAAACAGGCAACAAAAAAGCAATTTTCTTTTAGCTAAACAGGTGTGGCTCAAAACAAGTGGGGCTCTGCCCTGAATGACAGGTCACCACTGACCTTAACCATAAACCTTACCTAAACCATTTTACATTTCAACTTCAAGGGGTAAGGTCAGAGTTGGGACGTCCCAAGGATCTCTGAAAGCAAGGACCGTCGGACATTCCACTCATGCTCACGGAGCGGTTTTTGCGGATCATGGCTCCAGCTTTTGTCCGAATTTACTTTTCATAGCAAGTTTATGAGAACTCACGTGGCAGGTTGGGAGAATTAGGTTAAGGTTAGGAAAAGGGTTAGCTAAAATGAAAAATAAAATAAATACTTTAATGTAAATTTGACAAAAGCTGGATTCCATCTAGACATGACAGTCTTTGCGCACTGCTCCGGCGCTCAATGTCCTTTCCCCATTCCGCAAAAAATTGCTCAACGCTCACAGGGGAAAAGAACTGCTGCTCCAAATTCGCTCCATTAATTTTCTTTATAAACATCATTTAACAAACACCCCATCTACTTTTGTGACTATGTACCATTTGGTTTTAAAGTAGGCTATCGTAATAAGAAGCTTCAACATTTCAACATGTAGGCCTAGTAGGCTTTAAACAAGGACCTACAGTGCATTCGGAAAGTATTCAGACCCCTTGACCTACGTTACAGCCAGTGGCGATTTTAGCATGTACATTTTGGTGGGGCAAAAAATAAAATAATGTGGGATGCATGGCAGCAAAGCCACGACACAACACAACACTAAACAATACATTAATTGCAATATAACGGTGACAAACAGTGCCCACAAACAGTTAGGGCCTACATAAAGCTGTCCCAACAGTAGAGTCCCAACAGCAGTCCAAACACCTTACCACTACTACACCTGGCTATCAGCGGAGCCTTGTCTGGCAGCGAAACAGTTCATTCAGCCTCATTTACTGCCTTTAAAAAAACATAGCTGATATGGCTGACTTGCATAAACAAATGTGGTTTCTACTGACAATTGAGATGTACACACTATGGCATAAGGGGACGACAAGCGGAAAAAAGGTAATCCGTAATTTTGATTAAGACATTAATGAGCAAGCTAGGACAGACGTAGTCAATATAACTATTTGTTCAGCACTTTTGAAATATACAGCAACAATTCCGAACATGGGCCGTTCTTACAGCGTTCTCCCGGTACACCAAGTCAGAACCGTAGGATAAATAAAGGGGGCATATAAGCAGACAATGAAAGCTCTTACAATATTTGTTGATTACATTTCTCTAAAACAGGTTATAGGACACAAGTCAAAACAGTAGGCGAAATTAAGAGGGGAAAATAGACCAAATTATTAGGGTGAGGCACATAGGCTACTAACAGTTTACTACAAAACATAGACTTAGTATCACTTTCTTAGCTACAGTATACATATCTCCCTGGCATATTACATCATTTATGCAGCAGCATACAATACATTTTTGGACTCACCTTGTTTTGCTGTGCCCACTTGAACAGGAAGGTGGCACAGCAACAATTTTGTCATCAAAGTCTGGCATTCTCTGGATTTATGGTGCATTCAAGACAACTGGGAACTCTGAAAAAAACAAGGTTGAATCATGATGATGTCAGTGATCTTCAGGTCGTAGCTCTAGAAAGAGGCCCGAGTTCCGGATTTCCAATTCCGAGTTGGATGACCATTCAAAACGTATTTTTCCAGTCGGAGCTCGTTTTTCCCGAGTTACCAGTTGTCTTGAATTTACTGAAGTCAGATTTCGCAGTTCCGAGTTAACAGTTGTTTTGAGCACGGCACATATCATGCTTCATTGACAGCATGGCCAATGTTGAATGTTTATCATTTTAAGCTTGGAAAAGAGACCCTTAATCTCAGACTTGGGACCACACAGCCACTCCACTGAATAGCAGGCTAGTGATTGCTTTGCAATGCTTGCAGTTAGCCACTGATTCCTTCCAAAC